CATGTATTGCCGTGTTTTTACAAACACTGATCAACGGCTCTCAGGTTGAATCACGTTACCAGGCTGTTATTTTTTCTTGAAGGTGACCACAATGTCTCATCTTAGTATACTACTGAAAAGAAGTTAAGGACCACCAGACTCTTTCATACATCTACAGTTCATCTGTCATGGCAGGGAGATTAACTATCGTAATGTGAAAGAATCGGACGGTTGTTGACTGCTTTTTAGTGGAATATTAAAACTCCAAATACATACTTTGTGTACTTTGTGTACTTTGTGTCGCCTTCATCTGTTTGTCGACGTGTTTAATGAATTCAGTCGAGGTACAAAACGCGTATACATTGACAGAGGCTATTCGCCAGGGCCTCCTTCATGAAAGGCTATGAAAGTGACTGACGCCGTTCTTAATAGTGGAGTTAATTTCGTCCGGTTGAGGTTACCCGCAGAAAGGGTCAACCGTTTAAATGTTTCTTGCATCTTACTACGATGTTTCTCGAATGCTTAGGTAGTGATTAGATGTTGTAAATAGTACACAGGATATTTCATGTGTCGAGTGAAGGTTTCTCTCATCGAGTGACGGGGGAAAATAGATATTTCCACGAGTGGCGTAAGAAGTCTTAGTTCACTGCTGTGAAATATCAAGTGTTATGCTCACTGCAATGAAGGATTATCACCTTTCTCAACTTCAGAAAACTCAGTTTTTCACACTAAAGCATTTCATAAAATTCATTTTTTTGTATTGTGATCTGAGACTGACCTCATAAATTGCATGTGGCCTATATGTGTACCTCAAAAACCAAAAGAATGCTCTCAAGATTCACTTGATGACCACAATACACGTCAAATGTCAGCTCTATTTTGTTCTGTTATGTCATTTCTTCACTCAACAAGCGAGTGAAGGGTTTGACTCATGACGCAACCAAATGCCACTCAAACAACGCAAAACACAAAAGGTCAATGTCCGGTTACAGTGTATATCTGGAAAATTACAAGTATCAACATATGTTGTTAGGGATTACACTTTCTCAGTGAAGTACAAATTCGTACAATCCAATTCGGGATTGGAACCCACACTATTAGATACATGTTGGTTTGTTTGTTTTTTAACGCCACACTCAGCAATATTCCAGTATATAAAAGCGGTCTGTAAATAATCGAGTCTGGGCCAGACAACCCAGTGATTAACATCATAAACATCGATCCATGCAATTGGGATCGATGGCATGCATCAACCAAGTCAGCGAGTCTGACCAACCGATCCCGTTAGTCGCCTCTTACGACAAGCATAGTCGCCTTTCACGGTAAGCATGGGTTGCTGAAGACCTATGCTACCTCGGATCTTCACGGGTCTCATGTTGGTTGAGTGGTTGAGACACATCTGAAGGCGAAAACATAGAGACATCCTGGGACATTCAACGTAAAAGTCACTGTAAATATACGAATGAAGTAGTGTTTGTTTGTTTGTTTGTTTGTTGTTTAACGCCGCACTCAGTAATATTCCAGTCATGACGGCGGCCTGTAAATGATAGAGTCTGTACCAGACAATACTGTGATTGATGTCATGACCATCGACCCACACAAATGGGATACGATGATATGCATAAAACAAATCAGCGAGCTTGACAACCTGATCCCATTTGTCGCCCCTCACGAAAAACATGACTTGCTGAAGACCTATTCAAACCCGGATGTTCACGGGGCGAAGGAATTAGATGCGTGCGTAGACCAATAAAGTTTCATTTGAGCCGAACACGTAGCCAACAGTGTCTCGACTTCCCCTCAGTTAAGTTGAAGGAAATATATTACTGCTACATAATACTTAAATGGATAAACCTGATTAATTTAGTTCAACATCAGTTACAGATTTCAATGTTCTGGAACAGGGTAGAAATGATGCTATTGTCGTTATCATCACTTTCGACTGATGAAATAAATTGAACTCATCTAACAAATGAAAAAGCAGATGAGCTTTTGAGATTAAGAACAGTTAATTCTAGTCACGAGAGTACATCAAGTTGCCTTCCAGTCTGAGCTGTAGAACCAGTAGAACCCACTTTTACTATATACCTATCACTGATATGAGGCATTTTGCATGTGCGATAGAGCCTACAGAGACAGTCAAATCACAGGGCGTAATAACCAGAACCCTACAACACCCCGCGCAGGACTGATATGGCTTGTCAACGCATCTTCAATGGGCGATCGATATCAACCCGGGTGGTAAGAAAGAAGAGTCACGTCCCTTTGTGTGTCGTCTGCTCGTCTAGCGTTCCAGTGACAATGTCTTCCAAACAAGGTGAAAATATATTGCATTCACAAGCAAACATGTTATTAGATGTGAGTTTTCATATCACACACTCACATATAACCTCTAAGTATTGAACTGTAGTACCAGTATATTTCCCATTGTAGTGAACAAAAGAACCAGTATATTTTCCTTCTAATGAACAGTAGAGCCAGTATATTCCCCCTGTAATGAGCTACAGAACCAGTATATTTCCTCCTGTAATGAGCTACAGAACCAGTATATTTCCCCCTGCAATGAGCTACAGAACCAGTATATTCCCCCTGTAATGAGCTACAGAACCAGTATATTCCCCCCTGTAATGAGCTACAGAACCAGTATATTTCCTCCTGTAATGAGCTACAGAACAAGTATATTCCCCCTGTAATGAGCTACAGAACCAGTATATTTCCCCCTGCAATGAGCTACAGAACCAGTATATTCCCCCCTGCAATGAGCTACAGAACCAGTATATTCCCCCCTGTAATGAGCTGTAGAACCAGTATATTCCCCCCTGTAATGAGCTATAGAACCAGTATATTTCCCCCTGTAATGAACTGTAGAGTCAATATATTTCCTCCTGTAATGAACAGAAGAGCCAGTATATTTCCCCCTGTAATGAACAGTAGAGCCAGTATATTCCCCCCTGCAGCTGTTGAACCAGTATATTTCCCCCTGTAATGAGCTATAGAACCAGTATATTTCCCCCTGTAATGAGCTGTAGAGCCAGTATATTCCCCCCTGTAATGAACTGTAGTGTCAATATATTTCCCCCTGTAATGAACAATAGAGCTAATATATTTCGCCTAGAATGAGCTGTAGAGCCAGTATATTCCCCCCTGTAATGAGCTGAAGTATAAATATATTTCCCCCTGTAATGAACAGTAGACAGTATATTTCCCCCTGTAATGAAAAGTAGAGCCAGTATATTTCCCCCTGTAATGAACAGTAGAGCCAGTACATTTCCCCCTGTAGCTGTAGAGCCAGTATATTTTCCCTGTAATGAACAGTAGAGCTAATATATTTCCCCCTATAATGAGCCGTAGAGCCAGTATATTCCCCCCTGTAATGAGCTGTAGTGTAAATATATTTCCCCCTGTTATGAACAGTAGACAGTATATTTCCCCCTGTAATGAAAAGTAGAGCCAGCATATTTCTCCCTGTAATGAACTGTAGAGCCAATACATTTCTCCCTGGAATGAGCTGTAAAGCCAGTATATTTCCCCTGTAACGAACTGTAGAGCCAACACATTTCTCCCTGTAATGAGCTGTAGCGCCAATATATTTCCCCTGTAATGAACAGTAGAGCCAGTATATTTTCCCCTGTAATGAGCTGTAGTGTAAATATATTCCCCCCTGTAATGAGCTGTAGAGCCAGTATATTTCCCCTGTAATGAACCGTAGAGCCAATACATTTCCCCCTGTAATAAGCTGTAAAGCCAGTATATTTCCCCTGTAATGAATTGTAGAGCCAACATATTTCTCCCTGTAATGAGCTGTAGCGCCAATATATTTCCCCTGTAATGAACAGTAGAGCCAGTATATTTTCCCCTGTAATGAGCTGTAGTGTAAATATATTCCCTCCTGTAATGAGCTGTAGAGCCAGTATATTTCCCCTGTAATGAACTGTAGAGCCAATACATTTCTCCCTGGAATGAGCTGTAGAGCCAGAATATTTCCCCTGTAATGAGCTGTAGAGCCAGTATATTTTCCCTTGTAATAAATCAATTCCAAGATCACTTTTTACTGTAAATTGTTTATTTTTAACCAAAACAAACAACAAGAATTATGTACTTTCATTCTTCAAACACACACACACTCACACACACATTCTTACTGAACAAAAAAACAACTTGAATACCAATCAAACAGTTAACAACCAATTGATGTGTACACTGTTGACAAAGGGTAGCCCTCCAGTCACACGATTGATTCTCACAACCCAGCTTCATGGCATGGGGCAGGTACTGTACAGGCCTTGTGAGTATTGTCATTCAGTCACACTTCCTTATCAAGGAAAGAGCGAGATATGTTAGATATACCATGGAATCGTAAAACAATAACGGATTACAGAAAACACTTCTTTGATAGGCATTTAGAAATTGGAGTACTAAGTAAGGATAAGAATTTATGGATGAACAACTTCTTTATTACAATTAAGAGCGATGTTTCGGTGTAGGTCCTTACACGGTTGTCAAGCACTTGCTTAGTAACGGTGTTAGAACCTACACTGAAAGACTGGGTAGCACCCCTACTGTCTCACATCGCCATCTACACGGACACTTATAGGAGGCAGGTAAATGATCAATATTATCTTTCCATCTATGTGATCACATACATTTATTGATTACTGCATGAAGGTATTGGAAAACAGATCTAACTGTGTACACAAGCACTTGTCAATATGGTCAAGACAGGTGCTTGTTGTGTCACACCTCAAGTTTTATATCCTAGAAGCACGACAAGAGAAGGAACAGGTAAACATGAGACACACAGAATGTTAAAATGGCAACCAAGGCGCGAAACATGCTAAGTTACGGGGCAATGCACAAAAATGAAAAAACATGCCATAAACCACAAAGATTGATGACGATACAAGGTAAGTTGAACACAGTAAGTTGAAGAATATGTGGGAGTTTGGGGCCAAGGGGGATAACTTGTGGATGCCAAGGCACAGGCCGTAGTCTGTTTCAACTGTCTCTTTGTTCCAGTACTGTCTGTTTGTATGAGGTAGGGAAACTAAAGCACTCTGTAGCGTCAGGTAAGGTTAAACATGATATGATAAATAAAAACCTGATCAGTCACATATCATATTCATTACCAGAATGTTTGGCTGATCCACAAGCAATACTTGACTTAAACTGACAAGAAGATTTAAATAATAGTAAACAAGCATCCTACTAAAAATCTACATTGCTAAAAAGGAAAATTAATGAAGACGAAAGCACTTTATGGAATATCTTTCTGTCTCTGTGTTTGTTGAAGAAGACCATCATCTCAATAAACATCTTTGGACACCATGGAGCAAGATGCCCTCATACAGCAGTCTGTAGATGAAGCCATTGATATACCAGGCCATCATCAAGGAGCTAGATATCCTCATACACCAATCTGTAGATGGAGCCATTGATATACCAGGCCATCATCAAGGAGCTAGATATCCTCATACACCAGTCTGTAGATGGAGCCATTGATATACCAGGCCATCATCATTGAGCTAGATATCCTCATACACCAATCTGTAGATGGAGCCATTGATATACCAGGCCATCATCAAGGAGCTAGATATCCTCATACACCAGTCTGTAGATGGAGCCTTTGATATACCAGGCCATCATCAAGGAGCTAGATATCCTCATACACCAGTCAGTAGATGGAGCCATTGATATACCAGGCCATCATTAAGGTGCTAAATGCCCTTTTACACCAGTCTGTAGATGGAGCCATTATTGTACAATGCCAGGCCATCATCATGGAGCTAGATGTCCTCATACACCAGTCTGTAGATGGAGCCTTTGCTGTACCATGCCAGGCCGTCATCATGGAGCTAGATGTCCTCATACACCAGTCTGTAGATGGAGCCTTTGCTGTACAATGCCAGGCCGTCATCATGGAGCTAGATGTCCTCATACACCAGTCTGTAGATGAAGCCATTATTGTACCATGCCAGGCCGTCATCATGGAGCTAGATGTCCTCATACACCAGTCTGTAGATGGAGCCTTTGCTGTACAATGCCAGGCCGTCATCATGGAGCTAGATGTCCTCATACACCAGTCTGTAGATGAAGCCATTGATATACCAGGCCATCATTAAGGTGCTAAATGCCTTTTTACATCAGTCTGTAGATGGAGCCTTTGCTGTACAATGCCAGGCCGTCATCATGGAGCTAGATGTCCTCATACACAAGTCTGTAGATGGAGCCTTTGCTGTACAATGCCAGGCCGTCATCATGGAGCTAGATGTCCTCATACACCAGTCTGTAGATGGAGCCTTTGCTGTACTATGCCAGGCCGTCATCATGGAGCTAAATGTCCTCATACACCAGTCTGTAGATGAAGCCATTATTGTACCATGCCAGGCCGTCATCATGAAGCTAGATGTCCTCATACACCAGTCTGTAGATGGAGCCTTTGCTGTACAATGCCAGGCCGTCATCATGGAGCTAGATGTCCTCATACACCAGTCTGTAGATGGAGCCTTTGCTGTACCATGCCAGGTCGTCATCATGGAGCTAGATGTCCTCATACACCAGTCTGTAGATGAAGCCATTGCTGTACCATGGCATATTGTTCTCTTCACACACCTTGCGAAATGGACTGCGGAACGGGTTAATCTCAGGTGTGGTGCATGTTCCGAGCTTGACTCCTTCCATGGCGAGGCGGGCACAGTCACAGCTGTACTGACAGTAGTCGGTGAAGTAGGCGGCCACATTGTTCACCTGGAACACAGACTGCAGACTCAGGGGAGACTCACACCTCACATATAATAACAGCACCTTTTTACAATTACACTACAAACTGTTTTACTTTGTGGAATGTATCAAGGCTTGTTGCACTACTCAACATTAATGCACAGGTGCAGAAAGTTCAATTAATGAACAGAATCTCGGTTTTTATGGGGGTACTGGCAAATTCGTGTATTTTGACAGGTGTTAGAGACATTTTCAGATAATAACGTATTTTATCTCTAAATACACAATAAATCTAGCTATCCATGGTTTCAGCAAGATGAATGCCAGCATTAAACTATAAACAATGTAAGGATTCTAATGTTACCTAAAACTGCATAAAGATTTATCAAGTGAAAGGAGTTAGGTGAGTTCACTGAACACAAACCTTCATTTTCTTGAGAGAAGCTGCCCAAGTCATGTATGCCCCCACGCCTGCATTAAAACCTGTGGTAATAGAGTATCAAGTGAAGAAGTATTTGATTTTGATCACCTTGACCACATAATACTGACCAGCTTGGTTATCATGACACAGTAGAAGGGGAATAAGATGGAATGACCCATAATTGATCAAATCATCTGTCATGTTGGGAGTTTGAATCCTGACAATAAGCCACCAACATGTTCTGTTGATTGTCATGTTACACTTAGTCCTTCCCTTTCTTATCCATCCATTACCATCAATCGATACATCTTTGTATTTCTGTAATCATGTTATTTTTAAATATCCCATACTTTTCTTTTGTGATTACATTAACCTACAAATATCGAAATTAATTTGTTTTTCATAAAGAACTATCCACAACGCAGATTTTGTTAAGCATCATCACAGTTTGTTAAAATATTGCCTTGAAGACAAAATGACAGCAGGCTTCATCCTTGATACTTTAACTGGGTTGACAATCAGGTGAGCTAATTGTTAATTTAAAGTAGATATCGGTGTGATTCTTGGTCCATAGCTGGCACTAAATGTGGGTTTGGCACAGTATACTTGTGACAGACTACATAGCTCACCTAGCACTAGATGTGGATGTGGTCCCTTGTACTTGTGATAGAGTGATCGGTGTATCGTAACTGACACATTCTCTTCTTTGTATGTCTTCAAATCCACACTCTTTGATATTTCTGTTCCGACCATGTTGATCATAAACCTGATGTCTGGTAGCAACCGACCAAACTCCTACAGATAAATGTACCTCATATTAAAACACGTACCAAAACACAGATCATTACCCTCCCTGCTACAAGGTTCACAATGTATCCCCTCCCTGCTACAAGGTTCACAATGTATCCCCTCCCTGCTACAAGGTTCACAAAGTATCCCCTCCCTGCTACAAGGTTCACAATGTATCCCCTCCCTGCTACAAGGTTCACAATGTACCCCCTCCCTGCTACAAGGTTCACAATGTATCCCCTCCCTGCTATACAAGGTTCACAATGTATCCCCTCCCTGCTACAAGGTTCACAATGTATCCCCTCCCTGCTACAAGGTTCACAATGTATCCCCTCCCTGCTACAAGGTTCACAAAGTATCCCCTCCTTGCTACAAGGTTCATAATGTTTCCCCTCCCTGCTACAAGGTTCACAAAGTATCCCCTCCCTGCTACAAGGTTCACAATGTATCCCCTCCCTGCTACAAGGTTCACAAAGTATCCCCTCCCTGCTACAAGGTTCACAATGTATCCCCTCCCTGCTACAAGGTTCACAATGTACCCCCTCCCTGCTACAAGGTTCACAATGTATCCCCTCCCTGCTATACAAGGTTCACAATGTATCCCCCCCCCTGCTATACAAGGTTCACAATGTATCCCCCCCCCCCCCCCCCTGCTACAAGGTTCACAAAGTATCCCCTCCCTGCTACAAGGTTCACAAAGTATCCCCTCCCTGCTACAAGGTTCACAATGTATCCCCTCCCTGCTACAAGGTTCACAAAGTATCCCCTCCCTGCTACAAGGTTCACAATGTATCCCCTCCCTGCTACAAGGTTCACAATGTATCCCCTCCCTGCTACAAGGTTCACAATGTATCCCCTCCCTGCTACAAGGTTCACAAAGTATCCCCTCCCTGCTACAAGGTTCACAATGTATCCCCTCCCTGCTACAAGGTTCACAAAGTATCCCCTCCCTGCTACAAGGTTCACAAAGTATCCCCTCCCTGCTACAAGGTTCATAATGTTTCCCCCCCCCCTGCTACAAGGTTCACAATGTATCCCCTCCCTGCTACAAGGTTCACAAAGTATCCCCTCCCTTCTACAACCAACATGTGCCTGTTACCTTGAAGATCTGCAGCATCTCCACCTCCTTCTCCACACCCACCAGGTCGATGACATACTGCCTTCCTGCACACACCTTCATACCCGGATCTGGAAGAGCATAGAGAATTAGCATGTGCTTCACCTGTCCACATATACATAACACCTTACTCAAATAGTATATATACATATATGTGTTGGGTAAGTTGTCAGTCTCTGGGCAGACATGTTGTCAGTATATACCACAAGGAACGCACAGTCTCTGGGCTGACATGTTGTCAGTATATAACACAAGGGACAGTCTCTAGGCAGACATGTTGTCAGTATATAACACAAGGAACGCACAGTCTCTGGGCTGACATGTTGTCAGTATATAGCACAAGGGACAGTCTCTAGGCAGACATGTTGTCAGTATATAACACAAGGGACTCACAGTCTCTGGGCTGACATGTTGTCAGTATATAACACAAGGGACAGTCTCTAGGCAGACATGTTGTCAGTATATAACACAAGGGACTCACAGTCTCTGGGCTGACATGTTGTCAGTATATAACACAAGGGACAGTCTCTAGGCAGACATGTTGTCAGTATATAACACAAGGGACTCACAGTCTCTGGGCTGACATGTTGTCAGTATATAACACAAGGGACAGTCTCTAGGCAGACATGTTGTCAGTATATACCACAAGGAACTCACAGTCTCTGGGCTGACATGTTGTCAGTATATAACACAAGGGACTCACAGTCTCTGGGCTGACATGTTGTCAGTATATAACACAAGGGACAGTCTCTAGGCAGACATGTTGTCAGTATATAACACAAGGGACTCACAGTCTCTGGGCTGACATGTTGTCAGTATATAACACAAGGGACAGTCTCTAGGCAGACATGTTGTCAGTATATACCACAAGGAACTCACAGTCTCTGGGCTGACATGTTGTCAGTATATAACACAAGGGACTCACAGTCTCTGGGCTGACATGTTGTCAGAATATAACACAAGGGACAGTCTCCAGGCAGACATGTCAGAATAAAATAAAAGAAATGTCTCTTGGCAGACATGTCAGTATATAACACAAGGGACAGTCTCTAGGCAGACATGTCAGTATATAACACAAGGGACAGTCTCTAGGCAGACATGTCAGAATATAACACAAGGGTCTCACAGTCACTAGGCAGACATGTCAGTATATGACACAAGGGACAGTCTCTAGGCAGACATGTCAGTATATAACACAAGGGTCCCACAGTCACTACGCAGACATGTCAGTATATGACACAAGGGACAGTCTCTAGGCAGACATGTCAGTATATAACACAAGGGACAGTCTCTAGGCAGACATGTCAGTATATAACACAAGGGACAGTCCCTAGGCAGACATGTCAGTATATAACACAAGGGACAGTCTCCAGGCAGACATGTCAGAATATAACACAAGGGTCCCACAGTCACTACGCAGACATGTCAGTATATGACACAAGGGACTCACAGTCTCTGGGCAGACATGTTGTCAGTATATAACACAAGGGACTCACAGCCTCTAGGCAGACATGTCAGCATATAACACAAGGGTCTCACAGTCTCTAGGCAGACATGTCAGTATATGACACAAGGGACTCACAGTCTCCAGGCAGACATGTTGTCAGTATATAACACAAGTAGTCTCCAGGCAGACATGTCAGTATATACCACAAGGGACTCACAGTCTCTGGGCAGACATGTTGTCAGTATATAACACAAGGAACAATCTCCAGGCAGACATGTCAGTATATAACACAAGGGACTCACAGTCTCTGGGCTGACATGTTGTCAGTATATAACACAAGGGACAGTCTCTAGGCAGACATGTCAGTATATAACACAAGGGACAGTCTCTAGGCAGAAATGTCAGAATATAACACAAGGGACAGTCTCCAGGCAGACATGTCAGAATATAATAAAAGAAATGTCTCTTGGCAGACATGTCAGTATATAACACAAGGGACAGTCTCTAGGCAGACATGTCAGTATATAACACAAGGGACAGTCTCCAGGCAGACATGTCAGAATATAACACAAGGGTCTCACAGTCACTAGGCAGACATGTCAGTATATGACACAAGGGACTCACAGTCTATGGGCATACATGTTGTCAGTATATAACACAAGGGACTCACAGCCTCTAGGCAGATATGTCAGCATATAACACAAGGGTCTCACAGTCTCTAGGCAAACACTTTGTCGGTATAAAAACACAAGGGACTCACAGTCTCTAGGCAGACAAGTTGTCAGTAATACAAGGGACTCACAGTCTCTTGGCAGACATGTTGTCAGTATATAACACAAGGGACTCACAGTCTCTAGGCAGACATGTTGTCAGTATGTAATACAGGGTGAGGGGGAAGTTGAGCAGTACAGCTACTGGTGAGTCTAGCCGGAGTCCTCGCCACTCGTAGTATGATTCCCAGTCAGTGAATGGCTGTGAAGGGTCAGGTGGTGTGTTGGCAGGAGGGTCGTCCAGCGTACAGCTCTCCACAGGCAGAACTACGGGGTCATCACATGGGGGAAGCTCACCTGAGTCATATACACAATATTCAAACATTCAAGATAAATTAGCCAATATGAGACCTGACAATTGCAACTCCATTTGCTTCAACAACATTTCATCATCCTTACTTACTCCTTACTAAATTGCAAAGAATTCAAAATGCAGCACATAGGGCTGTTACTCATATTGGCACACAGAACACATTTCACCTGTTCTCTAAACCCTCCATTGGATGCCTGTCAAACAACAGATACAATTAAACAATTCTGCTTCTTGCCCAGAAATGTATCTACGGCGACAACACATGCCCTCACTAGAATCATCTGATCAGTCAACATAAACCTGGTTCTTCTCTCCGTTCTGTGGACCAGCACCTGCTGACACTACCAAACAGCAAAATAATAACAGGTGATCAGGCTTTCTCAGTTGCAGCCCCGAATCTCTGGAACAATCTACCTTAAATAATGACATTATCTTCTAATTCCCAGTTTAACACACTACTAAACACCCGCCTGATCCACAAAGAATTTGAAAACGTACTGTGACTTTTATGATGTGTTTATATTATATCATGTTATTCAGCCTATGGTGTCACATGTCGATAGTGAGTTAAACATGGCGAAGCTGAAAGATAACGGTAACCAGATTGATACAGATGTAGAAGAAAGTGTATTCACCAAACGGGATGAAGTGTCCGGGTGTGGCCCATGTTGTACATTCTCTCCGCCACAGGCCCTGGTTGTACACACCTCTCTCCTCCAGGAACTTCTCACAACGGATGATGTTGAACGCGAAAGCTGTTGTCTCTACAATGGAGACAGAAACTGCATCAAAGGATCTGTGCAGAGACTCAGTCCTCCATATTCATAGAGTTATCTCCCCTATACTGTCTACATGATGATGTGCTTATAATGGTCACTCTTTGTTCTGATTTTTTGTTTGCCGTTTAATGCTGCACACAGCAATATCCCATCTATATGAATGTGGTCTAACATCATTAAGCCTGGACCATGGACATGCAATCACTCAAGTCGGCGCGCCCCACAACCAACACCATTTAGTTGCCTCTTATGACCAGCATAGGTTGCTGGGAACCTATATATATTCTTACCTGGAATCCCCATGGGGATACAAGCATAGGTTCCTGGGAACCTATATATATTCTTACCTGGAATCCTCATGGGGATACAAGCATAGGTTCCTGGGTACCTATATACCCTGTATATTCTTACCTAGAATCCCCATGGAGATACAAGCATAGGTTGCTGGGAACCTATATATATTCTTACCTGGAATCCCCATGGGGATACAAGCATAGGTTGCTGGGAACCTATATATATTCTTACCTGGAATCCCCATGGGGATACAAGCATAGGCTCCTGGGAACCTATATATATTATTACCTGGAATCCCCATGGGGATACAAGCATATGCATCAATATTTGCATATCTTGTTAATTCTAACACCAAATAGGAAGGACCACACACAACTGCACATATTCCAGTGGACTAGCACTGGCTGAACTAATGATGTATATGTGTTAGGACAGGCAAAACATTCTCGCTGAAACCCCATCCACTCCAGGATATGATCTCAATGTTGAGAAACATATGCTTGTGCTACCAAAAACTGAGGCCTTGCATGTGTAACACAATATTGTATATATAGTTTTTAGGAATATAGTTTTAGCTTTTTCATTTCAAGTAGGTTTATATATCTTCATTGGTTGTAGTGTAAGATGTATATGCTTGGGTTAAGAGTCCAAGCGGTTGGTCTATTTTATTGAAGGGTGGACAGGTTAGTCTATTCTTGTTCCTCTGTCGCAGTCTCTAGCTTGTCAATACAATAGCTTTCAGCTCCCTAGCTGATTAACATTATCTATATATATTATAACTACAGCTTTCTTCCCTCACATTTGCACACTTTTTAGTCACTGTGCTAATAAGTTTACACAGGCAAGACATAGACTTCATGTAGCTCAGGTTAGTTATTTATATCATCTTTTCCTAAATAGAATTCTAACATATCTATTTAATATGTTATCAATAATGTAAAGTATTGTAAATGCTTATCTATTATATCAAATAACCAAGATATCTTCTATTTATTTTATCAGTATAAAGTGTTTAACATGTAATAATGTGTGAGAGCATGATTTGATTGGTAGTTTTGAATATAAGGATTGAATTAGAAGTTGGTTTTCTGGAATTTAAGGAAATTGTTGCCATGATTGATAAGTATGTATAAATTCAGGCATGATAATTACATGTTATATTTACTTTTTATAGGATTGCCATAATCCTATACTTATGATGTGGATTTATAGACACACCCTAGTGTCACCCACAGGGTACTGGTATGTAAAAATCCTATATTTATCACTCACTTATGAATGAATTTACATGTATTATCTATGCGTCATAATGTAGCATTTTATATATTCCTACTCTTAGTGATAATAAGTATATATTTATGACGCCCTACGACTACTTGTATTCTTCTAACTTTATAGTGTGTAACTAATATACTCAGTTATGATAAGAGACATTTAATATCTGTATTACTGATTTGAAAGTTACATTGTACATAATATACAATCTACAATGAACTAACTGGTAACGTGTAACTGTGTGTGTTGCATGTATGGACTAATGTGACTGCTCAAAACTACGATATAATTAATATACAGTCATATCTTTAAATGCTAAAGTATGTATAGTATATCATGTTATATTTTATTACAGGGTGATTGATTGATTGACATTTCACGTTATGAACCACCCCTGCAACACAAGCGTGGAGGATGTACCTGGTGCGAAGGTGAAGGGCAGTCGGGTGAGTTCTGCTGTCTTGGACATGAAGTGTTTCATCTTGGCACACCACACTTTATGACTGTGTTCCTTCATATCGCCCTGCAAGGACCAGCCTTTCTTCTGACAATCCCGACTACAGTAGATCACTGCCTGGCAGGAAGAACTGAAATTCAACACTCCATGCAGTAACCATAATTGACCTTGACCTAGAGCAAAGAAAGTCCACGACCATCAGTGTGAGCAGGCAGGGACATCATTGGGATGCAAGGTCGAGCTGCGAGGTCACCATCCAACAGAGTGGTCATCTTCATACTGCCACCCCATCTGGAGTTTGGTCAATTCTTACACATGTTACAACAGTTAAGGTATCATAAGGACAAGTAGACATTTGCATCTTCTTAAGGGTTCTGCTCTATGTTATCATTATAAGGACTAGTGGACTAAAACTGATAGTTCACAAGCATGAGATACTGTGGACACACTTCTGATTTAAATATGAAGAAAATAATTAGGTCAAATTTCCTATAGGTTCTTCAGGGGTAAAACTAAGATACCAGTGCTTAACTCTCACTTGGGGCTCTTGTACAATGGACCTGCTGAAGTGAATTACTCACCATGTCTTGAAGAGGTCTGCCGTGCCCCTCCTTCTACAGATACTGCACTCCCTCATCCAGGGGGTCTCTATGTCCGTCATATGTTCAGAACTCAGGCCAGGAGACACAAACTTAATACCAAGTCTTTTCACATCTAAAGCATTGTCCCTGCAAGCCAATGATACAGTATGCTCAGCCTTTGCAACTCAATGTGTTTTTCAATGACAAGTGAAAACACAAGATACACAACACATCATCATCCTAAGGCAAGAAACTTACCATTTGGAAGGTAGCACCGCATCATTGTGTACATTGGCAACAACTACCATTTCTCAGTGGTAGCAAAATCCATCTATGCCAAAACAAGTTTCTAATGTAACATTATATTCCCCCTTTATAATGTTTATATGCTAGATTGACAAGCAGATCTTCTGACCTCATCACACAGGGAGACAACGCTGTTCAGCGAGTACTAATACTCTTGACTGGAGATACTCATACCATTTCACAATAATATTTGTTTAAACAGTTAATGTATATTGTGGATTTTGTTTAGCTCTTATGAACCTGAAAGAAGGATTATTAAAAACTACATTTCATAAACACTGTCTCACACTTACAGATAATGATCAAAATGACTGCTATATATTACTAATATAGCAAGTACATTTTGTTACTCATCATATAGAAATAAACTAAGTAGCCAATATCCAACCCTTATTAAGATATTCTTATAGATAAAGCCACAACATTTATGTTTTAGGCCCATTGTCAACTGATAATCTCATTGGCATAAAGATTGATTGATTTTTGTTTAAAGCCGGTGGTCTGTAAATAAGTGAACCTGGACCAGACAATCAAGTGATTGACATCATGCACATCAATCTATGCAGTTGGCATACAGCGACATGCACCAACCAAGTCAGTGAGTCCGACCACTGATCCCATTAGTCGCCTCTTACGACAAGCATAGTCACATTTTATGGCAAGCATTGGTTGCTGAAGACCTATTCTACCCCGCATCTTCACAGGTTGGCACTAACAAAGAAAGGATTCTTGATAATGGTACTTTTATGAATTTATACTATTACTTTCTTTCTAAGATTAGCATACTGATATAAATAACTTTGATTCCTGTGGAAGCAAATGGCTTACTTTGCCAGAGCCTTGTCCATATATGTGACCATCCTGGGTCGTCGTGCCTGTCTCGTCATGGGAAACAGTGTACAGAAACAGAGGAGGTCATAGCTGTGTTGTGAGATGGAACAGATGGACACATTCGTGTGTGTCACGCCAATCCCCATCCCGGCCCGGTCCACCATGCACAGGTAGCGGTATGTGATGCCATCATCTTGTGTTACTGGAGACGGAGTTACTTATGCAATGTTTGAAATGTTGAAGAAAGACACTGAATCACAGCATACAGTGAATGGGTCCTCCACAAAACAATACTCAAGTTGGAGCTTGAAGGAGCCTTGTGTATAGATTTTGTTTCCTCCCTAAATCATGTTAATGAGAATAAGTGCAATTCCACAGTTACTGCATACCCACAAGGTACATGGCATACACAGATATCACTCAAGGATATGCAAATGCAACAGTTATAGACTATAAAATTTGGTTTGTTGTTTTATGCCGCACTCAGCAATATTCCAGCTATATGACGGCGGTCTGTAAATAATCGAGTCTTGACCAGACAATCCAGTGATTGACATCATGAACATGGATCCACGCAATTTGGATCAATGACATGCATCAACCAAGTCAGCGAGCCTGACCACCCGATCCCATTTGTCGCCTTTTACGACAAGCATAGTCGCCTTTTACGGCAAGCATGGGTTGCTGAAGACCTATTCTACCCCGTATCTTCACGGGTCTATAGACTATAAGAGGGTTAGTTGACACTATGTGCTACAGAAAGGATGGTATTATTACAGTATATAAGATAGCTACGTGATAAATCGCAAAGAACAATGATGAGGGAAGCGTGGTTTATTTCACGATAAAACATTGTTCTATTATGACATCATTTCTGGTTATTCGAACATACGCTCACATCTTGATGTCGTAAATCAGATGATATTATTTTGGAGAGGGAAGTGTCTGGAATCTATGTAGATGTTGCTGGACAACGCTGATAATCACTTGGGCCGAATGATCGCATCAGAATGTGGGTGAGACATCACAATTGGTATTGGGAGAAAAGGTACAGATAATCGATGTGAAAATTGTGAGAATACCCGGGAAATACCAAACTTAACCCCTGTGTTCATAAAATGGACTTTTTTTAAATACGGGTAAATATTTTTAAGGCTTGTACATTTTATTAACTAGGGGCTGCGCCCTTATGGTTTATTCTCCTAGCAGTGTTTTATTGTAAGATAAACAACCCCCACTTGTCGTGTATTTCCTAAGCATGGTCCCCAGTAGAACTTGGGTGCATGTCACACTTTATCCACCTGACTTAATGATACCAATTATTCAAAATGTAAGGTTCAGAACTGATTTCAAATTTTAAAGACAACTCATATTAAGACTACAGGTTGAACATTCCAGAGGACTCTAACATAACCAAGGTAACTGAAGCCCAGTTTGGAAATGTTGGAGTCCTTTAATACACTGCACCCCCTGCTTCATACACATTTCTTTTCTAAAACATTGCAGATTTACACTGACTCTTTCCTTATTAACATACAGTAAAGAAATAATTCATAGCTTATCTAAATCTTGTGAGTTTAGTCATCATCCTAAGATTGTTACTGTACCTGTTTCCATTTCTTTAATAAACCAGATTGTGTCTTCCATTGGCAATGCCGCTATCTTCTCCTCCTGTCCCTTACACAGCTCCGTCTTCCTTCTGATGTCTTCTTCAAATTCAGCAAACCTTTCTGGATCCTCGGAGAACACCTTGTCCACATATTTCTTTACTTCATCAGATTCTGCATCCATGATGAAATGAATGTATCGGGATGGAAATCTGTGCAAAATGATTAAGAAGCAAATATTATTGTATAATCATAATAATGTGTATCAGTGAAAATGTATAAGACAATTATTGTAGTATTATATTTTGTTAATATCTTTATATTAATATCAAACTCACATATGCATAGCGCGTGTACAGAATCATATGAGAAAAGACTTGCAGAAGCTGCTGAACATTGTTCCTGTAAGAAAAACATGACAGCTAGCTCTCCTCCAAACCTCAGTGGTTGATCATAACAGCATGCTCTCCTTCAAATCTAGGTGTTTGGTCAAGACAGCATGCCCTCCTCCAAATCTAGGTGTTTGATCACAACAGCATGCTCTCCTCCAAATCTAGGTATTTGATCACAACAGCATGCTCTCCTCCAAATCTAGGTGTTTGATCAAGACAGCATGCTCTCCTCCAAATCTAGGTGTTTGGTCAAGACAGCATGCCCTCCTCCAAATCTAGGTGTTTGATCAATCCAGCATGCTCTCCTCCAAATCTAGGTGTTTGATCACAACAGCATGCTCTCCTCCAAATCTAGGTGTTTGATCAATCCAGCATGCTCTCCTCCAAATCTAGGTGTTTGATCACAACAGCATGCTCTCCTCCAAATCTAGGTGTTTGATCAAGACAGCATGCTCTCCTCCAAATCTAGGTGTTTGATCACAACAGCATGCCCTCCTCCAAATCTAGGTGTTTGATCACAACAGTATGCTCTCCTCCAAATTCAGGTGTTTGACAAAGACAGTATGCTCTCCTCCAAATCTAGGTGTTTGGTCAAGACAGCATGCTCTCCTCCAAATCTAGGTGTTTGATCACAACAGTATGCTCTCCTCCAAATCTAGGTGTTTGATCACAACAGTATGCTCTCCTCCAAATCTAGGTGTTTGATCAAGACAGTATGCTCTCCTCCAAATCTAGGTGTTTGATCACAACAGCATGCTCTCCTCCAAATCTAGGTGTTTGATCAAGACAGCATGCTCTCCTCCAAATCCATGTGTTTGATCAAGACAGCATGCTCTCCTCCAAATCTAGGTGTTTGGTCACAACAGCATGCCCTCCTCCAAATCTAGGTGTTTGATCACAACAGTATGCTCTCCTCCAAATTCAGGTGTTTGACAAAGACAGTATGCTCTCCTCCAAATCTAGGTGTTTGGTCAAGACAGCATGCTCTCCTCCAAATCTAGGTGTTTGATCACAACAGTATGCTCTCCTCCAAATCTAGGTGTTTGATCAAGACAGTATGCTCTCCTCCAAATCTAGGTGTTTGATCACAACAGCATGCTCTCCTCCAAATCTAGGTGTTTGATCAAGACAGCATGCTCTCCTCCAAATCTAGGTGTTTAATCACAACAGCATGCTCTCCTCCAAACCTAGGTGTTTGATCACAACAGCATGCTCTCCTCCAAATCTAGGTGTTTGATCACAACAGTATGCTCTCCTCCAAATCCAGGTGTTTGACAAAGACAGTATGCTCTCCTCCAAATCTAGGTGTTTGGTCAAGACAGCATGCTCTCCTCCAAATCTAGGTGTTTGATCACAACAGTATGCTCTCCTCCAAATCTAGGTGTTTGACCACAACAGTATGCTCTCCTCCAAATCTAGGTGTTTGATCAAGACAGTATGCTCTCCTCCAAATCTAGGTGTTTGATCACAACAGCATGCTCTCCTCCAAATCTAGGTGTTTGATCAAGACAGCATGCTCTCCTCCAAATCCATGTGTTTGATCAAGACAGCATGCTCTCCTCCAAATCTAGGTGTTTGATCACAACAGCATGCCCTCCTCCAAATCTAGGTGTTTGATCACAACAGTATGCTCTCCTCCAAATTCAGGTGTTTGACAAAGACAGTATGCTCTCCTCCAAATCTAGGTGTTTGGTCAAGACAGAATGCTCTCCTCCAAATCTAGGTGTTTGATCACAACAGTATGCTCTCCTCCAAATCTAGGTGTTTGATCAAGACAGTATGCTCTCCTCCAAATCTAGGTGTTTGATCACAACAGCATGCTCTCCTCCAAATCTAGGTGTTTGATCAAGACAGCATGCTCTCCTCCAAATCTAGGTGTTTAATCACAACAGCATGCTCTCCTCCAAACCTAGGTGTTTGATCACAACAGCATGCTCTCCTCCAAATCTAGGTGTTTGATCACAACATTATGCTCTCCTCCAAATCCAGGTGTTTGACAAAGACAGTATGCTCTCCTCCAAATCTAGGTGTTTGGTCAAGACAGCATGCTCTCCTCCAAATCTAGGTGTTTGATCACAACAGTATGCTCTCCTCCAAATCTAGGTGTTTGACCACAACAGTATGCTCTCCTCCAAATCTAGGTGTTTGATCAAGACAGTATGCTCTCCTCCAAATCTAGGTGTTTGATCACAACAGCATGCTCTCCTCCAAATCTAGGTGTTTGATCAAGACAGCATGCTATCCTCCAAATCTAGGTGTTTGATCAAGACAGCATGCTCTCCTCCAAATCTAGGTGTTTGGTCAAGACAGCATGCTCTTTACCAAACCTAGGTGTTTCGTCAAATGATCAAAACAGCTTAGTGTCCTCCAAATCTAGGTGCTTCATCTTTGATCATGACAGCAACCTCTCTGCCCAAATTAGGAAATTGATCAAGACAGTATGCTCTCAGAAACATCTAGGTGTTTCACCAAGGCAGCATGTTCTCCTCCAAAGCATGAGCTTACAGTATTGTCTTATAATAAGACAATACTGCTAGCTAACAATTTGTAATTGTCTATGGGCAATATTCATACCATACCATGGTGGGTAACATCAAGAAAGGGCTTCACGTGTAAGTTCCTTGATGCAAATCCTACCCCCAGTCTTCATGCCCGAAGTTCATGATTTTATCTATATTCAAGTCATCTTAACAACCACTGCAGACAAACATGATCCATCGTGTTGATTGCTACCGTCACACAGCTATCCGCTATCTGTAATGTGTCTGTCTCATTCAGACCATGGGCTACTTCCACTACAGAGGTATCCGTTCTGACAATACTTTCTAATACAGATGCTGCGGTAAATACAAAGAATGAACACACGTTACACAGTCCATATAGCCTAGTTCATGTAGCACTCGTGCATCAGTCAACTGGCCAAGCAAATTCAAGGAGTCGACTCGTCAGCGTAGGTCACAAGGCCAATTTCGCACAATCAACAATTTTGACAAAATGTTAGCTAATTATATTCAAGTTGAAGTTTGACAGTCATAACATATCAGCATTGTTTATTGTGCCGTTGCAAAGTGCTTCGATGAACATATGCCGTCAACCGGCGAGTAAACATTAATTGAAAGATTAAATTCTAAGCATAATTTGACATAGTCAGTTCTAGTTTCGTAATCAGTATAGCACCAGCATGCATTAACTCTACTTGTCGTTAGATATGAGTAGACAAATTTACATCCTTTAACTATTACCACATCTATCGTACATTGTTGTCAAGTTTGTATCAGTCTGTATTTGTGCGCCTCAGTCATCAGAGTTATCTGTCCCTACTCCTCCTCCTTACAGCGTAACTGTGCGTTGTCACGCTGTGGAGCTTTGTACAAACACGCTGACGGACACTGCGTCGACTTGGCGCCACACCAGGTGTGATTTGATTTTTGTTGTTGTTTAACGCTGCACTCAGCAATATTCCAGCTATATGACGGCGGTCTGTAAATAATCGAGTCTGGACCAGACAATCCAGTGATTGATAACATAAGCATCTATCCACGCAATTGGGATCGATGACTTGCATCAACCAAGTCAGCGAGCCTGACCACCCGATCCTGTTAGTCGCCTCTTACGACAAGCATACCGTATTTCCTCTAATAGACGCCGGCCTCTAATAGAAGCCGGGTCAATTGTTCAGTGCAAAAAATAGAAACCGGGCCTGTAATAGTGAGTGAGTGAGTGAGTTTGGTTTTACGCCGCTTTTAGCAATATTCCAGCAATATCACGGCGGGGGACACCAGAAATGGGCTTCACACATTGTACCCATGGCGGGAATCGAACCCGGGTCTTCGGCGTGACGAGCGAACGCTTTAACCACTAGGCTACCCGACCGCCCCGGGCCTGTAATAGACGCCGGGTCGATATATCTACGGATATCTACGAACACCAAATATTTCCATTTCGTGACGATTCGGGACATTCGTGGTCATAGTGAAATGGGGGTATTAATAGAAGCCGGGCCTCTAATTGACGCCGGGTCAAAGGCTTGTCCGAAATAAATAGAAGCCCGGGCGTCTAATAGAGGAAATACGGTGGTCGCCTTTTACGGCAAGCATGGGTTGCTGAAGACCTATTCTAACCCGGATCTTCACGGGTATTGAGCAGGAGTCAGTGCGTGAGATGGGTTTAACGCCACTGTTACAAGTATTCCAGTTATTTCAAGGCATGCATGTCTGCTTAATGTGGGAGGAAAGCCCGAAGTAATGCAGGTCTTAGACGTTTACCACTTCGACGAAACCCACGAGCACGGGTATGGTGCTGACACACCTAGAAACGTAATCGGGGCGAACCGGGATTCGAACACACAATCATTGGTTTCTGGCGTTGCTAAGGGACGCAACTCTGCACAGCAAATTAGATGATCGGGCCGCCCTGTTGACCAGGAAACGCGAGCAATAAAATGCAACTCAAATAGTTAAGACATTATTCACTTCCTTCATGACTAAATTGCACAAGTGTGCATGCATTATTTCATAAACACAGACATTAAAAGTATGCTTAGGTATACCCCTTGTAACACATTTTCAAAACATTTTGTGTGCTTAGGTTTCATAACAGTTTCGCCATAACAATAATTTTCATGACTTTTAAAAATGTTTTACTTCTTTGCAAAATGTAATTGAAATATTTTTAAATGTTATAAAAGATCATATTATAACTTAAATATTTTCGAAACAAATTTCATTAGTAATAAATATGTTTTGAAAACGTTCATTGAAACGACGTCATATTTTATGAAATGCTGTCGTCGTGGTTGCGAAAACTAATATAGTTACCTAAACTAAGACGCAAATGCCCCAAAAGGGGACGATTTTTTTAATGTTCAGCTATTGAATAAATTCTAAAGAACATTTAACTGAGGTTTCATATAGTTGTTTTTTTCGAAATCATAATCGCCACAAAAATGTTTCAAAATATCATTAAATGTTATTCCTGATCATCACACCAAAACATGTTCAAAACTATTTCATATCATGTTATTAAAATGTTTTGTAAAGGTCGCTGAGCTGTAATTTCAGATGTTTCATGAAATGTTATTGCCATGTTTTAAAAGAAAACTGCGAGTTCAGATATGTCAATGGTACGAACCACCCATTACTTCAATAGGAAATTCAATTCAAACACTCTTTTTTTCTGAATGGTGAACAAAACATGTTTTGGACAAATATTCGCATTAATTTTCAAAACATGTCATGTGTCACGAACTCTTTTATTTTGTAAAACGTAAGGACATTTATTTTCAGCATTTCGGGAACAGATTACTTTATTAAAAAAGATCCCAGAAACAAATACATCCTTAACATTTCCAAGTATTTCCTTAGTTTCCAGTATAGAATTCTATAGCAATGTCGCCCTTACGTTGCTAAATGTTCTAGAAATATTTCACTTCTATGCAAAATGGTTTTGAGATGTTTTTAAAATGTTATTCAAGGCCATCATTGTATAACACGTTATAAACCATTGCATAACGTCATTATAATGAAAACGATTGCTGTTACGAAATGTAATTTTCATTTTGTGAAAACATTGTGAATGCAGATATATGCCAGCCCGTTCAAATATGGCGCAATTGCTTCGATGAAAATGAGAAACCTAATCAACCAATAATTTTTTTTCACAAAAAATGTTTACCTATTGGATAAATCAGTAATAGTCTTCAATAAATCGTCTGTCAAACAACCTCGCGCTTATTTACAAGCTTATGTTTCTGTTACATGACATGGTGTTCAAATCTTTTAAAACGTTGTTGAAAAGTGATGTCCGATAAAAATGTAAAAAAAGAAATGTTTTTGAAATGTTCTTAAAACTTGAACAGTGATATCAGGCACCCGTTTCGAAATATTTAAAAAAATATTATCAAATGTTAACAGAACACGTTGATGGAACCATTAAAAAAAAGATATTTAAAAGATATTTAAAAATGGAACATTTCGGAAAATGTTTTGTAACATTTTCGTGTTATTTGGGTACATGTTGCAAGTCTCGAGATCACAGGGAGACATTATGTGATAACTTAATTTATACAATGTACAGAACGTAATTTCGGTTGAAATGTTTCAGATAATCAAGGTCCTTAGTTTGTTTGTTTGTTGTTTAACGCCGTACTTAAGCAATATTCTAGCGTGCTGTCAATAATCGACAAGTCTGGAATTGGGATTCGATACGCAATCAACGAAGTGACCGAAGCATACCACATTGTTCACTTTGTCGCCTCTTACGACATGCATGGTTTGCTTGGGACCTATATTCTCACCACATCAAAGTTCGACGCAAAGTTAAACAACAAATCGGTCGATGAAGACTGGCTATGTGTTCCTTCTAACAGTTAATATTTCTATCAGTATACAAAACCTGAAAGTTTAGGTATCCCCGATGGATGTGCATGTGAACTGTCGATGTTCTGATTGTATGTAATTGTAACCTGCGAACTTTGGACGTCGTTACGTTTCTACTGTATGTATTACATCCATTAAATGTGCCATTTATGAGATAGACATGTTTTCAGAATTGCTGGTGTTGTCGTGTATTTGGTGCCCTGAAATTTCATTTGGGGTAGGGGGCTAGTTGCAATGGGATTTAACGTCAAGATTGTTGCCCTTATATATATAGCGACGAGCAAGCACGTGCGTGGCTGCTTGTACTTATCCGGACTGATGCCACAAAGATGACATTGTTGCAAGGTGTCTATCTTAAACAAATTCAGACTCATAACTTTAAACAAAATATACAATGACCCCGTGTCCACCATGTCCGTCGACTCGAAGTTCCAACAACATATCCACGTGCAATAAATAGGTTGACTGCAGCCTTAATTGGCATTCAACCATCACACCTGACTGTTCTAATTATCTTGATTCAAACAACATGCTTATGCATGTTATACACGTACATTATTTTACAGAAACTCACACACGGGCTTTGGAAAGGGAACGCTTAACACTGGAAACCAGCCACTCTAAACTGCTGAGGAGGATGAACATGAGCAGCAGGAAATAACTAAATCCAGGCTGTCAAAGCGGAAAGAAACCTAAGTTTGACTTTATGTGGGGTAGGGGGGCTGACTCAGTGGTAGCCATGTTCGCAACATGCTGGTTCACCATCGACCTTTTACGGCACGGTTAGTTTTCTCTGTCCTCAAGTTCAGGCTTATCTATTGTATAGTTTTGCTTAAATAATGGATGTAATTAATTTGGTCAAAATGACAATATAAGCATTGAATGCATCTGATTGAGTGAGGGGAGCCCTTAAGCTGACATTATACTTTGTTAGTACTGACCTGACTGTCTAGCTTTACATAGGTCCTGCTATCACTTTTACAACTTAATGAGGTTTCCAATCACGCAGTTCTTTTTCAACAGGTTACCGTCTCGGTTTGACGACGAGGACGAATGGCCATTTGCCAAGCCGTTAATGCCAGATGGTAATCATTGGATATTCGCAAGGACCGTTACAGCATTCACTAGAAACATAACACCCAACAAACAGTTTCTGGGCAATCCTGTTCCCAGATTTTCCCCCAGAGCTCAACTCGAGGCAATAGCAGTAGGACCACAACCCCTATCAATGTCATGAGAAACCAAGTCGCCATCAGCATCACGATTTCAGTCATCAACGTTAATGGCAGAGGCATGATCTAGACTTCAGAGACAGGGTCACAATAAAGGCGTTGTTTTAAACACAATCCGATGGAGAGAGAGAGAGAGAGAGAGAGAGAGTTTCTAAACTGCCACGCCACGTTAAATTTATTATTTTCATACAATGACTCTTTCGTAAATAGTATCTAAATGCAAATACATCTACTGTACGTTTAGGACTGCCTGATAATTCCGGAGTTCGTTCATTGTGTAGTTAACATGATCCTGTATAATGTTCTGCTTTGAAAATTTGGTATTGTCACTTACAATATTGGGACATAGTGCCATCTTTTCACGGTATCCACTCCTGGTTCTTCAACCAATCAGTCTGCATCACATGCACTCGTTCATTTAAGCATGGTGCCCATACCAACAACGGTAAAACATGAATTCTTACACGAGTATTGTAAAATCAGTATTACATACATGCGAGTGTAATAATTTCTTTATCACCCATTATTATCCCCCGCCACGGCATGGCGCTGGGTATATGGGAACGGAGTTCGTCTGTCCGCTTCTCAATGTGCACAAAATTTCTCAAAAAGTTAGAGAAATGAAATTTTACACACTGATGTTACTGGTCACGATCTCAAATGAGTTCGAAAATTGGTGTCGGACATTCTTTTCTTAAAGAGTTATGGTCGTGCTTTTCAACATAGTGCATACT